AACTAGTTATTAATTGTTAATAATCAATAAAAATAAGGTATTAACTAAATTAATTTATAAATTATAATGGTTTTATAATAAAACCATATTTTAAATACACACTGATTTGATATCTGGACAACACTATTGTTGTGATGAGTTTACAGTCTGTTTGTGATTATTAATACACATTTGCGTACAAATGAACACTTGTTTTTGATGTTGAGTGCATTTGAGTACTGCATTTATTTTCATAGATGTCTATTCAAACCTGTTTATTTAAAATTCATTTTCATTCACACAGTTTCTGGTTGGTTGAAAATAGACTTAAAACCGGTCTATTTTGAAAATAGTGGTGGCATTGACATAGTTAAATTATCATGTTTATATAACGACTATACAAATTGTATGTTTGCTATTTAACTTTATATATGTCACTTTTGTTTTCGTTACTTTAATTATATCACCTCGATTATATAACTAATTAGTTATTTTAATTTATAATAATTGTTAGATTCGTTTTTAATGATAATGATATTTATTGTTATTTAATTTAAATACAATTGATTTGTTTTATATCAGAATAATATTAATCTGATTATAAAATGTAAATGATTTCTACATTTTTCAAAAATTTGTTGTGTTTTTGTTTTGTTTTAACATTTTTTTGTATAAAATTTGTTAATATATTTTTGTTGTCGTTTTTGTTATATATTATTAGTTATAATAAAAGAAAATATTAATAAATATAAATAAATAAAGATAATAATTAAATTAAATATAAGTACAAATATATTTGCATTTTCTATCACTACTTATATATAAGTAATTAATAAATAATTACTTTAATAATTAAAAATATGTCTCAAAAACATTTTTATCAATAATTTTTGGTATAAATTTCATTCACAAAAAAATCTATACAATATTTGTTAACTTAAAGTATTAATAATATAATTATAAAAAACAAATAATAAGATTAATTATAATTATTAACTAATTATACAGGAGTTGTCAAAAATATAATAACTATTTCTATTTTGTATGTATTGTATTGTCTACAGAGTGAACATTATATTTCGCTGATTGTACTGTTGTGTAACTAAATATATTATATTTTAAATATTGGTTAAATTTGGGCAAAAATATATTGAAATATATAAAAATTGACTCTTAATGTAAGAGAAATAGCAATAAAAATTATAACAATTTGTTATATTTAAATTTCAAATATAAATTATAATAATTATATTGAAAAACATTATCCATATGTTAACATAGAGTGAACACTAATTTTGATGAACTAATACATTGTATAACGGGATATATAAATACTGTTCATATGAACCAAAATAATTAGTATTAATAAATATTGTTAATTATTTTATATGAGAATATAATAAAATATTAATTGAAATAAATATGTTCATCATAGCTAGTGTTTACTGTACCCTAACATAAATACACATACACTATACACCTAAATAAATTAAATACATAAAGTGCCCCTGAGTACCGGCCCATCTCAAATAAACCAGATCAAATAAATCCAATATAAAAACACAAGCAATGAATATATTGCTTTCAGATGTACAAAGTGTCCCAAAAATACGGGTCTGGATAACAATATTATTTCAGTGTTAATTGTTTCATGTGTGTAACATTAATTTTGTGTGTGTATAATATCCTTAGGTGGTCACTTAATGACCTCGATGAGAATAATTGTACATAAAACTTAACATGATAATAAATAGAGAGCTAACGTTAAATCTAAGAATGGGCATTTAATTATTCACCGGGATTATATTATTCACTAAATAGTGCATTTGGGAGACTAATTGCATTATTATATAATTATGATGATAAATGTAATTTTAGCTAATAGCATAGCTAAGTAATCTACATAGTTATAATATAATAGCAACCGTAGTGCTATTAACTACAGGCGGTGGGCAGGGGGCAAAACGTATTAGGCATGTTACATTCGTTGTCACGATACCACCCCGATCGGTTTAAAATTGCTCATAAAATTAATCGAGCGCAAAATACTGGTTTGTAATAAATAATGACTATATTAGATGTACAGAGGGTGTGTAATTAATAAACGGACACCCTAGCCACAACCACTGTGCAAGCCCGCCTAGGCCCTTTCGCGACGACCACCATGATCATCTTCATCGGATGAGTGGCCGCCCAGTAATATAGCGTTCGAGTGGACAGTCGACTGGACAACGATCGAGTCCAGGCTATCGGCGCTGCCACCGGCCGTATCCCTACTCATACTTCTCGGTTTGGTCACAACATCACCGCCACCTTCACTCCCATCAACATCTCTAACTCCCCGACAACAGCACCGGCAGCCAAACAGCTTATGCCTGAGCCGGCGGAACAGTTGGGGCGACTCCTGGTGCCACTTATCCATCGCCAATATAACCACACACGAGCTGACCAGACAGGCGCCCAAAATGCTCGTCCACTCGATTGACTCCTGGAGTAACACCACTTCCCATATGAACGACAGGACAATGTTGAACGTACGGGTGACCGACACGGGTCCGGCCGACTCGTACTTGAACGCCACCGTAAGGAAATACTGGTCACCCACACCGCACAGCCCGATACCCGCCAATAGGGTCCACGTCCACCATCCGGTGGGAAGTGTGAGTTTGCCCAGAATCACCAGGATCACGGTGCCGGCGATCACCACGGTGCCCGAGTACCACATCACCACCACGGCCACCGGCGTGGATTTTAATCGTCGTAAGGTGATCATGGACAAACTTGCTGTGACTGCAGCCACACTGGCCAAACATGTGCCCAATAGTCGGCTCTCGTGTACGGACTCAGTCTCGGCGCCGAATAAAAACTCGGGCTTTGCGATAATAACCACCCCGGTCAGTGTGATGGTGCCCGTCAACACCTGTAGTACGGTTAGCGGCTCTTTCAGTATAAAGTAGGCGAATATCGTGACGAATACGGGCGACGCGAAGTGTATGGTAGAGGCGTCCGCCAGAGGCATAAGCCGGTAGGCCATGAATATGGCGATCAACGATATGGTGCCCGATATGCACCGTAGAGTCAGGTCCACGCGGTGGCCCTTAGGCGCCATCAATGGGTATCGGTAGATGAGCGCGGTGATTGTGTAGAATATGAATTGTATGACACATCTAGTGGGAATTAATTCATGTTTATAAAATTTGAGTTAATTAAATGTTATAGTTTTTACTATTAAATTATTAATAATAATAATAGGGATTAAAATGATGATAATAATAAACTAAACTAAATTAAAATAAATCAATACAGTATTATTTACTATTGTCATATTACTGATAATATATCTCGATCAAATCTAAAACCAGTTATTTTAGCTCTAATAAATTATTTTGATTCTCACAATAATGTTGTAAAATATACGTTACAGTTTGTAATGATTGTATTTTAAACCATTAGAGTAAAGTAAATTAATATTACATAAACTAATATTCGTCGAAACTAAACCAATAAATATGTTCAACTAGTTTTTAAACATATATTTAAGCTAATTTAGGGGGAAATTACAGCTGGATGAAAATATTAAAAATAAACATACAAAATAATATTATTAATAGACAAAAAATGAAAAATACCTGATGACCAGCACTTGAATTGTATGCATTTCGGTCAACACCTTCACTATAACGGATCCAATGCTGAAACACACGACCGAAATAAGTGCCATAAGTAGACCAAAGGCGGGTATGCGGTCGGGTAGGGATCGTTTGTCACTCCCTATGGCACCGGCGGGTGCCGTGAACTTAGAGCTACCCTTTTCCACATCCATACACATAATGGGATGATCGTCGGTATTGGTTAGCATTTTTTGCTTAACACCCCCTTCCAGCTCCTGAAGGTGGCCACCATTGGCCTGTTGTGTCTGCTGTTGGGCCAGCAATATGTCTGCAACGGTTTTTTCGTTTAACAAGGGCATTTTTGTGATGCACTAGATGTTTGCACTTGGCAAGAGAAATTTAATTGTAAAACTTAATTAGAAACTTTTAATTGAATGTGTCAATTTAAAAATTAAAATAAAAGTTATATAAATAACATTAATAACTATTCACAACACTAGTGAAAATAAACTTGGTTAATTAGCGTTTGGTCAATTATTGTAATTAAAACTTTTATTTTTGTAGAAGCTGTTGGTTTGAAGTTAAATATGTTTTGTGCATTAATTTAAATAGTGTTTTAATTTGTTTTGAATTATTCTTGATTTTTCACATTATTATCAATGTTTGTAATTTTAATCAGTTATTATTGTTATTAAAATTCATAGTAAATTTATTATTATGGTTGTTTTTATATACTTCCGACTCGTAGTATTGAATAATAAATATTTGATTGAAACCAGAGATGAAAAGTTGTTAATTGTTATTCAAAATAATTTTATCAATAGATATATTAAATGACATAAAATAGTTGCAATAATATTTATCATATTTAGTTATAAAAAATAAATCACAAATTAAAGACATTTACGATAAAAAGTAGTTACGTAACAATTGGGGTAAAGTCTAATAAAAAATATTTATCAATATAAATAGTTTATTTCACAAATTTATCAGTTTGAGTTTTAAATATGCTATTGATTTAATTGCCATTTATTAACCATATGATTTCCGGTTGTTGTGTCTGGGTAAATTTGTCCATAACATAAACGTGTGCCACATTAATAATAATTTGTTTTGATAATATTTTTTATTATTCATAATCGTTAGACAACATAATTATAATAAATTTACAAATTATCAAACAATACATAACCAACAAACTAGCCTTATTAGAAACTGGGTTGATCCGGTATTACCTGGAAACAGTATTGCAGATGACTGCTTCCTAGCCTATTGTTTCACACCTTGTTCCATTTAAAAAACCTTAATATTTTACACATATAGCACAGCTAGCGATCAATATATCAGTACTGCCTTTACTCTTCCCATTCATTATAAACCCAAACCTAACACTAGTTTTACATTTATTATAAAACCTAAAACAATGAATAATAAATGCTTTTGAAGCGATTAATAATTTATTTGATATTGATTATTATTATTAAGCCAAGTAATTATTCCCAGACATGTAAACCCTTTTGCACAATCTGGATTATGCATGTTATACTACATATAGATGTACTGTATGTCCCATATATTGCATAATCTTATAAATGTGATAAAAATATTATAGGATATTTAAAAAACGTACTCAACATTCAATAACAGGAAATGGTGTTTAGTTTTTGATTAATTTTTTTCATTTCAAATTAAATGTCAATATATTTCGCAGTCTATGGCTAAGCCTATGAGGAAGTATTAGTATATAATTCTACATGAAAATGGTTATTTTTTGCGCAAAATCTGCTCATACAATACTGTACACTACAGCACATCTATGTGTTATATAACATGTAGTTGAGAACGGATTGGGGAGGCTATGGAGGCCAATGATAGAAGCGGTTTGAACCAGAATTGTTTGGTCTTTCACTTTATATATCTGTCAACCTCTATATAATGAACAATAAACACGATATACTGTACACTATTCAGCGCCTATCCCTTACAGTGAATGCAATTAACTAAAATTTTAATTTATTTCTAATTAGACTAGTTTTATTAGAAAATAGCACAAATCAATAAATTCTGTACGGAATATAATGCCATATAAGGAAACACGGAATAATTTTGCTCTATGTATGAAAAGGATTGACTCACAACACAGTGAAATAATGGCCAATAATACAACATATAGTGAAAGGGATGTAAGTATTGGTGAGAGAGTAGTGAAGAAGAGGGGGAGGGAAGTGAGTGCGTAAGTGAGATAGAGAGAGAGAGAGAGAGAGAGAGAGAGAGAGAAGGGATATAAATGAGATGTTATTGTATGAGATGTTGTCTAAGACTTGACTATACTGTAGGACAGTTGGGTTTGACTTTGAAAAATCGATATACATTTTCTCGGTAAGCACGGTATTTACAAAAGTAGGTCAAAAAAACTTTCCACTCAATATTCTGGCACAAATAACACACATTTTTTAGAAAATATTTACCATATTATAAGCATTGAATTTAAATAGATATTTGTAACACTATTAAATCAAATTTCCCAATAGTTTACATAATTATAAATTCTGCTGTACAATTTTTAAACTAAAATTTAAAAAATGTTAATTTTATTGATTACTAGTGCAATCTCTCTCTCTCTCTCTCTCTCTCTCTCTCNACCCAACTGTCCTACAGTATAGTCAAGTCTTAGACAACATCTCATACAATAACATCTCATTTATATCCCTTCTCTCTCTCTATTTCCTATACAAAACACACCCCAAAAAATTGCTAACTCGCAGAAATAATTTAACAAAAACAGCAAATTCTGTGAAATATTCTCTATATATGGCTATTAGAGAGAGAGAGAGAAGGGAGGGAGCAGTGGAGGCATTGACGTAAAACATAGTGAATATTACATGAACTCAGCAAATGATATAATGCCGTAATTATATTACGATATTTAAACCCCCGATGAAAAGTGAAATGAATTATAACTTAAAAATAAGCAAAAAATAATTTTAAATAATTATTCATTGGGTTATTAAATAAATGAATTTTAATAAAATTCTTATAATTTTGTTTCGCTACAGAATTCTGTGATAATTTTAATGTAAAAAATATTCTGTAAAATGTATATAAATTATGGGAATATTCTTTGTGTTTTGATACAACCATTTTGTAATAGTAATAATAATATCAGAATATTCTTGTTTACATGAAAATAATTGCATACTTGTGTATACATAATATGGCATAAATATATTTTGTATACGTGTTATGCTATAAATATATGAATTTAAAAAATACATTATTTTTCCATACTTTGAGAAAAACAAATATATTTTTCAAAATCAAATGTTATTGAATTGTATGTGAATGTCATATAACTGTAATTGTTTTGTTGGTAAAATGATCATAATAAAAGTATTATATTATCATTTAATGAATTAAAATGATACTAAATGTTACTTTATATTGTTTTTTGTTTCAATCCATTAACATAAATTATTAATGTATTCACAAAAATATATATCAAAATACATAAAGAATTCAAATAATACATTGTATTTCATTGATCTGTTTGTGTTATGAGATATAATGTACAAAAATATAATTGGATTTCATTTAATGTACATAATATGTGAAATTATAACGCAATGATAGTGCAATATTGTACACTGTTTGACATTAGTGTATAGCATAGCACACATCATGTGATCGTGATATTATTAGCATTGCAATGACAAAAATTATTTTTACACACTAGCTACATTTTTTAAATAATATTTAGCATTAATAGAATTATAAATTAAATTTTAAGAAATATAATCATGGTAATAATAATAATCAAGAATAAATAATTTAAATTAAAAATAATTCTTACCTGGTGATCAAAATGGATTGTATATGAGAAATAAATGTAGTGAATATTTGTGTATATTATAGATTAAATTAAATGATTAAAGTAAAATAATAATACAAATAGAGATTTAAATATAAAATTAGTTTTATATGATGTGGTAAGTAATCGGCGATTTTCATCGGGAGCGTTTAGTGATAAACGCTTGTAAATACTGATGTATATTAATATTATTAAATAAATCACAAAATTAAAAATTAAAAACTTGATCAAATAACAACATGTGTTGTTTAGCGAATAGTGTACAGCATTTACTGTACGCCAGATATATATATGGTTTGGACATCAAATGTCGGTAATTTTAGACGAGAATCGCAGAAATGAAACATTAATTTCTGCATAAAAATTATTATTTGTTTTGTTAGCGAAAAAAATAAAATAAAATTTTATATATTTCTTTCGCTTAAGACATCATCTGATCGTTTGTGTTATTCATACGACTGTATGCCAGTGTTTGGGGTCTCTCTCGCTGTATGTATACTCTATATAAACACAACATACAAGTGCTTGACAACCAGCCAGAGATGGGGAGAGAGAGCGTTTGGAGAGCGCATAGAGAGTATTATTACAATAGGGATAGAGATAGCAATGAGAGAGAGAGAGAGAGAGAGAGAGAGCCAATCACGTAACAGCATAACGTAATATTGTTTTTATATTACACTGTCATTGGCATTATTGCGCGATTCCTATGGCACCCTTACATCAGCCCTCAAAACTCTCCATCATCTGCTGAACACGTGCTCACATGGCTTATAGACATATTGTTCCCATGTATTGCCAACGCCTGCCAACCCTTTCCATATTGTGATTTATGGGCAATGACAGGAACTGCGGTGTAATTGGCGTAAATAACACCTAGGTGGCTAAAATATGTCTAGCAATATACTAGTTAAATCCGATTCAAACTGAATATTCTGTGTGGTTAACAAGTTTTGTAATTGTGCTTGTGTAAATATTAAATATGATAATTCAATTACCCCGATCACTTTAACCCAGGCCGTGGGTATTTGGGAACATGTGATCACTATCTGATCAGACATACGGATCAACATTATTCTCTCTCTCTCTCTCTCTCTCTCTCTCTCNCTTGTGTAAATATTAAATATGATAATTCAATTACCCCGATCACTTTAACCCAGGCCGTGGGTATTTGGGAACATGTGATCACTATCTGATCAGACATACGGATAAACATTATTCTCTCTCTCTCTCTCTCTCTCTCTCTCTCTCTCTCTCTCTAATTGTAAGCAAAGGGATGTGCGCACACATCCCAGTGTGCGTTAGACTGTGTGTTGCCATACAAATGATGTAATGATTACTGGGAAATGCAATGTAATCGGCATAATATACAAAATCCTTATTTAGTAAACGCTATGGTTTATTGTTTAATATCATTAGTGTGTACTTTAAATATATTGTCTGTAGCTAGAAATGCATTTGTTAGATAAAAGTAATGTTTCTTCGTTTATTTTGTTATAGTGTTTTTAACATTAATGACTTTGTATGACTTAATATAATTAAATTTGATAAAAGTTATTTCTTTAGCTTTTCCAGTATTTTTATTTATTTTTTAAAATGATCATTAAGGCACCTAGTTCCAATTATTAAAGTACATTTCACTATAAAGTTGCGGTTATATTGCATTTATTATACTTAATAATGAACATTATCAAAGTATATTTACGCAACTATATTATATAAAAAGTAAATTTAAAAAAGTCAAAGTACAGTACTTGAGTACTTTAAATAAAAATCATCATTCTTAAAATTATTTTTAAATAACTATTTTATTTTTATTTATAAATACATTATAATTTCTATGTATAAAAAAGTATTCATAGAAATCATAATTAGTAACACAATCTATGATTTGGGTATTTTTAGTTTGATATATAAAATTGTAATACTTGTTACAAAGAATATTTATCATAATAAATTCTCTGAAAATTTTTGTTGGTAACAAATAAACAATTAAATGTATAAAAAATATGCACAATTAAACAAATTTTAAACTATTTAAATTAAGATGTTAAAATTAAAATAAAACTAAAATTTAGGCAATGAATTGTTGTTAGATTTAATTATAACACAAAAGTTAATTTAATTTACAAGTTAAATTTATGCGTCAACTAATCATATTGAAATGCACATTTACGACACCTATTGACATACAATACATCTAATTATTAACTATCAATGATAGTCTATCATTATTTAAAAGATTATTACTTTATTTGATTTTAATATACCATCATGGTCAGACAAAACATTAATTAATAAATATGATAAATATTAATATTAAACTACAAAGCCTAAATGAATGTTTGCTATTTATAGAGCTGCTTTGATTAGTAAATAACAAAATTCATGAAGTTTTAAAATCATTAAAACTTTGACCATTATATCTTAAATCACCAATGAATATTTTGTATAATGAGTTTAAAGTTAGATTAAAAAGACAATATAGTTAATTACGTTATAAATTTACAATTTAAAAATTATTTATAGTTTTTTTACAATTGTTATTATAAGCCATTAAACATTATAAAATATTTCTAATGAGTTTGTATAACTAATTTAAGTATTGAGTAGTAATTAGACAAATACTGTTTGATCTCTGTAGATTTAATGTGACTGAATTGTGCAATTAATATTATTATTTTAAAATAAATTACATTTTCTTAAATTAAAGTAGATATATCTAGAATTAAATTGACTAATTTTGACTAATTAATGCCCATAAAATTCACCAATATAATTTTTTAAAATATACTCGTTACTAAAATATATGTAGTTATAAACACGTCATTTTAAATTTCTTATTTTAATACATTAGTCTCTTTATACCAAACATATACTCAACAATGGATTTATTAAAAACGAGTGAAGTATTGCCGGAAGGGGTGGTCATCGGGAAAGCGGGCACTCATTTCTATAGCACTGGTCTCTCATTATATCAACCAAACATTCAGTGTCACAGAAATGCAATCTATAATCCAATTGGTCTCTCATTTTATAAACCAAACATTTATTGCAAAAGAAATTTAATCTATAATCCAATTGTGGTGTTTGTTATGTCAATGATATCCATTTGCAGGCAATCGATCATGCTCATAATTCCTGAACAAACAGCAAATTTCTACGCTCTAGTTGGCGACCCTGGTTATTTTATCGGACTCCCAATACCGGTAGCTATATTTGTAGTAACCGCTACACCTATAATTTTATTTTCGCAAATACTTAACTATTATAACTATAAGAATGGCATAAATGCCGTCGATTTGCGTGTATTTCAAATGCTTTGCGGTTTAATAACACCCATAAGTGTCGGCATTCATGAAATACAACTCTTGAGAAAATTGCTGTCATTTTCACGTAAAGCCATGTTTTTAGGCGAAATGGCTGATAGATTAATCATCTATGTTACTTTCGTTATATTCATGGTTGTTTTTGCTATCAAACAAACTAGTTACTACCGAATATTGTACCTAGCATTGCCCCATAGTATAGTAACCGCTCAATTTGCCACGTACATTTTTAAAATAATCACGTGGCAATTAGTTTACTACTTTATTATCACTTATTACCTGATGATAAGGTTTCTGTTGGCGAATCAATTAATAAAGAATTGTTTTAAAATAAATAACTATATGAAAATAAATAATTATAAAAATCTAGTTAAAATTACTAAGAACCTACACCAGTTATTCACGGATATTAAACAATACAATGATATTTATTGGTGCAAAGTATTAGCTGTTTATTGGATATTAATAAGTACTGTAATTAGTATTATATTGTATATATTTTTGTTTAGTAATATCCCACTTATTACCAGGATATTTATTTTATTTTGTGGTTTGCAATTTTTCATTACCTTGTTATAT